CTCCATGCTTCTTTCTAACACATTCAATTTCCTTCTATTTAAATGCCTGCATCTGTGAGGAAGGAATTAGACTGTGTTTAAATGACTACAACATGTTTATTCTCTCATATAAAAGGATCAAAGTAAATGTAAAAACACATTGAGAAAGTTGGTGATCTTGTACAACACTCTTTTCTATTTTTATAATCTGAGTAGGAAAATTGATATAAACTGCCCAACTCAAAGTCTGTTCAGTAAACACTGGTTCTTGAATGTTTCCAATATTTATGTGTTTATCCATGAATAGCTGTATGAACCCATTCTAATCCACAGTGTATCTTCTAAATGAGACATTGTTCCCATGCTTTGACTTCTCTACCCTGTCGTATGTGATATTAGTAATGTCAACACGTTTTGGTCCAGATGTTCAACTTGATAGAGAGTATTTTATTTTTATTTGAAAGGCATATTGTATAGAAAGAAAAGGGGAAAGAGAGAGAAAAGGTCCTACATCTGTCGGCTCACTCCCCAAGTGTTTCAAAATGGCTAAAGGTGAGCTGAGCCAAACCTGGAAGCTAGGAGTTTCGTGTTGGGTTTCCTGTGTGGGTTCAGGATCCCAGGAACTTAGACCATCAACTGTTCCTTTCCCAGGCCATAAGCAGAAAGCTAGATAGGAAGTGGAACAACCAGAATATGAACTGGTACTCACATAGGATGCTGTTGCCACAGGGTAGAGGATGAATTTGCAGAGCCACTGCACTGGCCCCTCAACCTGTTTTCAATATTGGATATGCAAGATTTTCTTGTAATAGGTTATACAAAGAGTGAATAAAATTAACTAAGAATAGTAAATTTGAATAATATGTTATAAAACAATATAAAATAATAATCACATACTATAAAATAGGGGATGGTTATCATGCCACAACAACATGTTAAGCTACTACTTAAGATACCTACCTGCCACTTTGGATTACTGGTTCAAATCTCACCTGCTCTGCTTCCAAATCAGCTTCTATCTAACTCAGCTGTGAAGGTTGTGGATAATGGCCAGATAACCGTGTTCCTATTGCCCACTTGAGATATATAAATGGAGTTCAGGCTCCTGGCTTCTGATTTGTGGTATAAATCAGTGAATGAAATAAATGTATAATTCAACTAAATATGTAATAAATAAATGCTTTAAAAGATACATTTATAGAAATAATCCGTTTATGTAGATTTTATGTAAAACTGAAAATGATTTTGACTTTTGTGGGCATAATTTTTTTCATCTTTACTCTTTGATCAAGTTTTCAAATTGTATTATTTAAAACTGCTATACTCAATATTTTCTGTTTGTTATCTGGTTGGATTGAATGAACTGCTATTTTTATAGACATGTCTGTTCCTTATAGGTTTTTAGATTTTCTTAAATAAGTTTTCCCTCCCATTATATATACAGATAGTGGAGGTTTTGCGCTCTTGCTACAGGTGAGAGCAGCTCGCAGTAGGCTTACAAGTAGGTATACAGAGGTTTAAAATTGTTATATCTTACTTGTGAAGTGAGTTCCTTCATTACTATAGGATATTTCCTTTTACTTTCCATTTTTTTTATGTAGAAGAGTTGATAAAATATTGTCTAGTCCACAATTTCTGGGCAAAACATTTTCAAATGTATTCCACTAACATCACAGTTTCTTCTTGCAGAGGAGATAATCGGTGGTAGCATTTATAATATGCTTTTAAAAGCATTGTGATAAATCATAGTATGTTGTGTTTGCTATTGAAGGCTACTAAACTAAATTTTAGCTAAGAAGGAAGGATTTCAAAAGAGATGGCATTTGAGTTGCGATTGAAGATATGTGTGTCAGTTGGGAAGTGGGCTGGCACTGTGTCAGGCAGTGGAATCCTACACAAGGAAGCACATGTCCTGTTTAGGACTGGTGTTCAGCTCAACTACTGAACGTGAAAGAGAAGTCTGGAGAGAGGAAGGGGTTCTAAATTGCCAAAGATATTCCTATCTGCTCACTGTTTCAAAACACCTTTAAATGTATACAATTGGAAATTTTAAAAAGACTCCAGTCTTATTTATTGCACTTTTTAAGTGCACTTTGAGCATTCGTCTTTACCCATGTTTCATTGTAGTTCTTTAAGACAAATTCCTTTAAATAGAATCACTGTAGCAAGGACATGGGGGCTACCTAATTTTAGACCATAGAAAGCTTTTAATAATAATGTACAGCAGGGCCAAATTTGGAGGGATGATTAAGAAGAAAGAAAAGGCTGGAGGCTACACTGTGTGTAGGTCTGAGGGTTTTAAGGTGCTAGTGAGACTTTGTCATGGGTTGGCTAAGTACAACGTGTGAGGAGTCATCTAGATAAAGGGGCCTCAGTGTAAACTATGTTTATATTTGCTTCCATCAAAGGAGTTTTGTAATAAAATAATCAAAGGTCCTTTTTCACTTACTCTTACCTATTGAAGTTCATGAAATTCATTTGTATCATATTCCCCAAACCATTATGATGGTTACCTTTCATATACCAGGAATTATTTTCTTCCACCTCCCCAGGTGATTTAGCATCTGGAACATATTCTGTCTCATTCCATTGCCCACCTTCACATTAAGTCATATCAGCTTCCTGTTAACCTCTTTCCTATTCCTACATATTCGCATGTCCTGGGTAGTACTTTTCAAGTCTATAGCCCAAATCCACTACTTAATAGCTGTGTAATCCTTGACACCTTGCTTAACTCTCTTTGTCTCAGTTTCCTCATGAGGACCTCAGTAATATTCACATGGGATAGGAGACTGAAATAAAAATGTGCATTTGAAAATGCATAGAATGTCTACAACATGGTGAAAATAAGTTTTCCCTCCCATTATATATACAGATAGTGGAGGTTTTGCGCTCTTGCTACAGGTGAGAGCAGTTCGCAGTAGGCTTACAAGATTGTTGAGGGATGAACTGCACTTTCCCAGCATCTTCTGTCAGAAGTAGCTATACTATACAAGTTAAGCCTGTGCTGTCTTGGGCAACTGCCTCATCTTTCTTTGAACCCTAGGATCGAGAATAAAATGAGTACTAAGTCTTAAAAGGATTCTGTTCCCTGAGCTTTTGTGAATTTAAGAGGCTTTGCATTTTAATGTTGAAATAGCTTGGATTTCCTTGGATTTTACCTTTGCTCATTTTTACCTAGTTCCTGTTCCCCATCTTTCTCTTGCACTGCATTACAAAAAAAAAAAAAAAAAAGAATTGAAATGCTGGTCGTCTGAGATACCAAAAGATCATGGCAGGCTGACTAATTTCATCCAGACTTTCTGCGAAAGCTCCACATGTGCTGTAGTTTTGGGTTGCATAATTGATTTAATCTCTGATTTTAAAGGAATGCTGAACTCTTTTGTGGGACTCTGCATACATTTCTCTAGGGCAAAAACTGGCCTACTTTTTTTTCTCTCTGGTATCTGTTTAGTGCTAGGCCATTTTTCCCCCAAGACTTTAAACTACCCTCCGTGAAATAAATGAAATCACAGTTGGAAAACAGCTTACTGGACAGACTTATAACCGCAAGATAAGAATTACACCATACACATTTGCTTAACATTCTCCTCCCCTGCTTTCCTTCTTTCTGCTCTAGCACATCTTAGTTTCAGCTCTGAGGAGACATTAGCCTTTCTGCGGAGGCCTGGCATTACCTACACAGAGCAGCAGCATTCCTTAGCATCTTATTTGAAGCACATAGGCTGTGGGTTCTGATCCTTGCTTGTCCATTGACCTGTTTTATGACTCTGGAAAGATTTGTTTCCTCTGGGGGTCCTGCTTTCCACAGCTCCATCTTGAATAATGTTTGTGAAGGCTAGGCTATACAATAGGTATGTCACCAGCTTCAGACTCACCTGGAGTGTCTGATAGTGTGGGGGCAGCATGGTGGTGGGTGAATGATTTGGATCGCTTTAGAGGTCACTTCATTTGTGATACTGTTTTCAAGAACTGCTAAAGTGGAAAATTTTGTTTGCTATTACGAAGATTTTTGTGAACCTATTTGATATGTAATTTGGAGACTAATCCTGTCGCTTCTCAAACATGATAGTATTTCTTGTGTTCTCATTCGTGTTTCAAAGAAAGTAGCCATGCTGAGGCCCATACTCATTAACACTGTTGCAGAAAATTCCAGGAAGAATTCTCATGCTGTAGAAGTGATGAAACATCGTCTCTATTAATAACATAAAGTCAGAAGTCGTTTTGAACTGCTATGTGAGCATCAGAACATTGCATTTTTATGCTGTTAAAGGAATTTGAACTTCGAATGTGATATATCACTTGATTAATAACACACAATAGCTGAATCTTTCTTCAAACAGACTGTGTTACTTGTGGGGTAAATTTAGAGAAGTCCCTTGACCTCTAAGCTCCTTTATGTGTGAATATTTAAAACTTGAATCAGAATCATGCTAATCAGGTTCCTTGCAAGAATTAAATGCTAAGATGCATTAAGAGAATTTGAAAGTCATCCATCCTTAGAGTATTAGCTAAGTCTTGGCAATAAAGATTTACAACAGATAACTCATTTCTCGGTTCTTTACAATGATAAATGTTTATGTTAGACTCAGTTGGACTTGATATTGACTGGCTTATTCTATTCAGCTTTGCTGTGCTAGTCTGTTAGTCAAGAATTCTCCCTTCATGGCACAGTGATCTGCTAAAAACTTGCTACGTCTGTTGAACCATCCACTGCATTAACTACATTAACATCATATCAACCCAAAGCACAAGTCATACCAGTTGGTATTAGGAAATCAGGAAAAATAATGTGCCCTAATAATGAAAACGAAATGAATGTTTCTGAATAATAACCGAGCTTCCTTGACAAAACTATGCAAAACCATGCTTTTCCTTTCTAGTCTGTAAACCCGATCTCTGTTCCAGATAGTCTATAGCACCAATGTCACACTTCTGAAATTCAGTTACAATTACTGTGTCTTTTTCTTTTTAAATTTCAAATTACTTTGAATGATATACGTTTTTTTTTTCTTAAACAGGAACTTCAGAAAATCCCTTAGAAAAAGAACAAACGCTTCTGATTCTACTTAGAACCTCAGAGAGAGTCTTTTGTGATCGTTTTAATCAATTTCGGATTGACCCAGGAATAATTGGTAAGAATAGAATTTTTTTTTAATTTTTATTTTTCGTGTTACAGTTGGATAGGCTCAGGGATTTTCCCCATATATATACAGATATTGATATATATGTTATGCACACATATATAATATATATATTTAATGAAATATATATATTTCAACTAAGTAAGCATGCATATACTTATGGCACCATTCGTGTCTCACATAGCACATGCTAAACTCCATTGTGCTAGGTAATTTCCTTTTATAATTTACCTCACTGGGTTTTCTTTGAGCAGTAACCAGTTTAGAGAAGTCAAAACTCAGACTATGCTGCCATTTGGCATAATAATTTAAACCGCTGCTTACAATGCCATCATCATAGGTTGGAATGTCAGTTTGAGTTCTGAGTCCTGGCTGCTCTGCTTCCAATCCATCTCCTTGCTGGTGTGCCTGAAAATGCCTCAGAAGATGACTCACATGCTTGGGCCTCTGACACCCATAGAGAAGGCAAGGAATGGAATTCTTGACTTCTGTGTTTGACCTGCCCCTAAAGTGCTTTTTGTGGCCATTTGGGGAGTGAACTAGCAAATAGAGAATCTCTCCCTGATCCCTTCTTCCTGCTTCCCACCACTCCTCATTGCTTTGCCTTTCAAATAAATAAATAAATAAATAAATCTTAAAATGAACATTCTGGCATGATGAAAAACTTGCACAAACCACGTAATTTTCACGTAACAGATTGTAGATGTATACTCAGATTGTTCAGAACCCCAGTCTGAACTGACTCTGTCTGCCTTGTAAAACTATTATGTAAGAACTTCACAATCATTTTTTAGCAAGAAGATAATGTTAATTATATTTTCAAATATGTTATCCTTCTCTCTATTCATAACTAAAGAGAGATTTCCTTTTGTACTATGCATTTTTTCTTTCATATTCACAATTTTAAAAACCTGCATATTTTCAGTTATTTCCTTTCCCTCACTTTGATTATACTGTATCATCTTTTTAGCTATTATGCTGTCATGTGTTTTAGAAGAATTAATTAAACAGGTAAATTACTGATGACATTAATTATCTGTTAGATGCATTGTCATGTTAAGTATTTTCACTTTACCTGGTGTTCTGATAAAAGAAAAAGCATCTTGCTGTTTGAGGTTTCAGAATATTATGAGATAGAAATTTAATTTTTGCCTACACTCATCAGCTCCCATTTTGCATCTCAGTATTCAACAGAATAGAGACAATCATGTTTGAACAGCATAATATTTGTTAATTGGTTTCATGGTAAATAATTATTGTCATATACTACTTTGATAGTGTTTTATGATTTCCAGAGGTTTTCTCACACATGCCATTCATTTTTTTTGTAGCAATAGGATGAAAGTCAGGGGTTTGAATATAGTTTTCCAAGCTGGCAAATTAGATGCATCACAATAGGAATGTTCATTTTTTTACCTGTGATTAGGCAGTAGTTACATTGGATCAAGGATTCTGTTTAGTCTTTCCCCAGATGCCTGTCAGGATCCCTGAATCCAGCCATCTGATCACACTAGTGCTTCTTAAATCCTTTGATACCAAATTAAAACAAAAAAAAAACGGAATTATTTGCTTCATTTGCATGCTCAAATTTTTATGGTATCATAAGTAGAGGATAGATTTTTAATCCTTTTAAACTCTTTAAAGTCTCATTGAAGCAACTACAAAATTGTGTTATTTTTCACTAAACCTTTGATGATCAGAAATGACCAAGAAATCTGCTTTTCTGGTCAATTGAATTTTCTGGATAATTCAAATTCACGTACATGAACTACTTTTTGTTATCAACATTGTAGTTGGAAATCTCTCTAAATCACTTCAGGATCCTTATCTACTTAGCTTTCTTAGCCTGTAGTGAAAAAGCTGGATTTATTTATTCATTTATTTTTTGGTGGGGCGAAGGTGGTGATGAAAGTATCCTATAAAATAAGCTTATAAACTATTAGTATGAAAAGCTGATTATAAAGTATTTCCCAAAAATCTCATTCTTTTTTTACATACATGAAATTTGATTTTAGTTTTGTTTCCATTTGTAGCCTTTTGTCTGTATTAGAGTGTGGGGAAAATTATAGATATTGATATAAAAATGTGGTTAGATTTTAAATAATTCAGACTTCTTAGGTCCCCCATCATATAAAAACCCAAGAAGTATTATTTGCACATTAATAGGATTTAAATTTTTATGGGTGTATATTTTTGCTAAAAACTGAAATTTTTGAACCAGTTGCTTGCAGTAAAACGAAATATATCTGTCTATGAGGTTCTAAGAAATTCTTAGAGGTGCAGAAAGAATTAGAACTGCTGTTCTCATATATATGTTAATATTCGTATATGTGAGTGTTCATCATAATTATCTGAAATAATACATATTATCTAAAACTATCTACATAAGATGAAAATACATGTATTAGGATCGCATGATTACATTTGCTTTTTACTGCTGGGTTTCATGGTCAAAACAGTTTTAGACCACTAGACTATGAAGAATTATGTTTAGTATGGTTGAAAATGGCAATGGAATATGTAAGAGGAAAGACCTGAAGGAATAAAACTGGGCTGCATCAAGCATGTCGCCCGTAAGACTTTAATTTGTGAGTCTGAAATAAATTATATTTTGAAATAAAGGACGTAGAGATCTCTCTCTTGATATCTGTAATAAGACAAAATATTAAGTCCAACCACGGAAAACAAAGCTAATAGTACCAAAGCCCTATCCTCAGGAAATAAAATTATCCATGCCCCTTGGAGAATCTAGTATATAACATAAAATATCAAAACCAGTTAACTTCCCACAGAATTGCAAATGGTGTGGAGTCACTTAGTGGTGGAAGGGAGTAGCTTTACAAGTTTGACTAGTTATCCGTCACAGTAGACCTATTCCTCAGCTTTCACATTATTGTGATATGGTATAATATCACATCATTTCTATATAGTTTTTGAAAGAATACTTTCTATACTCTTGTGAAATGTATCTTATTTCCTTTAAAATAGAGCACTTAAATATGGAGTTGCTTATAAGCTATGTCTTCATATAAAGACTTTACAGCACATATTTGCACAGTAACTTCAGGAATGACTTTTACTCATATGCCCTTAATTCCTCTGAAGGATTTTCCCGTTCAACTGTTGCTCTTTTTATTTTCAGGGGTTTATGGGAAAGTTCAACTTCACAGTGCTTATACTAAAAAATCCTGGACACATCTTAGAGCTGATATTGCCTCAGGAAACGAAAGGTGAGGAATAAGACTAAGTGAAGGTTATATATATATATAGTTTAACTTGCTTCTTGTTGGGGCTTGCTATAGTATGAAATTTAATTTTATGCTAAGCTTCCCAATTTAATAATAAATGCCAATGAAGGACATGAAATTATCCCAAAACATAATAAAAATAGAAACACATAAAAGGAAGGGAAGAAACAGATCATTCCAAGAGTAAATTTTAAGTCATACTTGTTTTTTCTTTTTTGCTGTCAGTCAAATCAAAAAATAAATTTGATAAGAGTTGAAGTGAGAACACACTAGTCTGAGTCGCAAAGGTAGCTGAGATATAGACAAAAGCAAAATATAAATGCGATAAAGCAGATGAAAGATCTTATTGCATCTAATAATGCAGTAAGGAATAGAGACCCCACTGCTGCAAACAGTGACGTGAAGAGCGGGTGGATGCACATCTGCTGGGACACAGAAAACAAAGACACAAAGCGAATAAATAATAAGGTACTGGACATAGAAATATAAAAATGGAAAGCTATCTATAGTCAAGTGTTCTTTTCAATAAGAATCAAGAATAATTACAACGGAAGCAATGGTGAACACTTTGGAGGAGCTATGCATAGCAAACTTGGGAGTAGCTGTATTTAATGTGGGTGCATCAATCTTAAGAGTAATGATTGTTAGTTTCACTGCACATGCTAAAAATAGTGGGGAAAATAGAACAGAAATGTGGACTTGTGACTGATGTTGAAGGACTCTACTACTGTAATGATACTGGAGAAACCAGTAGGGGAGGAGGCCCGAGAAGGGAGAAGAGGGAAATCCCTGAGCCCATGGAACTGTATCATGAAAAACAAAAATTTTAAAAAAGAAACTCTGCCTTTAGAATAATAAATACATAAATCTTAGAAAAAAAAAGCTACACACTTTCTGGGAAAAACTGGAAAAATAGAAAAATAAGGGAATTGAAAGATTAAATTGGGTCTGGTGGGATAGCCTAGCAGCTAAAAGTCCTAGCCTTGAACACGCTGGGATCCCATATGGGTGCAGGTTCTGATCTCAGTGACCCTGCTTCAAATCCAGCTCGCTGCATGTGGTTTGGGAAAGCAGTCGAGGACAGTCCAAAGCCTTGGGACTTTGCACCCATGTGGGAGACCTGGAAGATGCTCCTGGTTCCTGGCTTTGTTTGGCTCAGCTCCAGCCATTGCAGCTGCTTGGGAAGCGAATCATCAGACAAAAGGTCTTCCTCTCTGTCTCTCCTCCTCTCTGTATATCTTTTTCCAATAAAAATAAATAAATAAATAAATCTTGAAAAAAAAGATTAAACTTAATTTAAAACTCAAAAATGAAAACAAAATTCAATAATAAGAGCAAGAACTTATAATAATTCTTAAAATAAGTTAAATATGTTAATGCAACTAGGATTCACAGACAATAAAAATTTATTTTTTGATCTTTAATAATAAACTTTTATTGTGCTACAGTCATGTAAAGTATCACGTAAAGTACCAAAATAGCACTTTTGGGGTTTTGAGAAGTTTATTGATTTGTTTTGATTTCTGTTTATTTTAGAAAATTCACACATTATAAAAAAGCATCCAGAATAAAACTACTTCATTATATAGACAACCACACTAACATTTGTCCTCATATAGTTTCTCTATTTTCTATTTTCAGGCGTAGTGTTTTTCTTTTTGCATACCTGGATTCTGTCATATAACTTTATATCCTGCATTTGTACCATGAACACTTTTTATACATTGCCACAAATTACTAATAATTTACAGTTACAGCTTATTCAATGCTTATTATTTACCTCGTACTGTTGTAGACAATAATGCATATTGAATACTTCCGACAATTTACGAGGTAATTCAAACTTATCGAAGAGAAATCTAGGTAATAAAAGGTAAATTTATAGGTTCAAGGTTACAAAGGCAGAGCAATAGACAGAACATACGCAATTATAAACAATCTACATATTTTGAGCAACAACTTATACAGCTATTTCTCCATTAAAAATAATGAAGTTACTAGTAATAATTTACTGTCATACACAGAGGTATATAAGTATTTTTCTGTCTTCTTGTATTTTTAGTACATTATTCTTAGGATACGTTTCTCAGAGTTAGAATAACTGTTGTGGGTATATGAGATTTTGTAAGGTAAAATACACAAAGAATTCTTTCCCAATGAAATGATTTAATTTTCACAATTATCAATATTGAGATTCCCCATTTTACAGTAGTTTTGTCAGAATTGTCATTTTTTGTTTAAATCATTAATAATCATTCCTTTAACTTTACATTCCTAATATTTCAAACAACAATAAGCATTTTTAAAAGATTGATTTTTATTGGAAAACTAGATATAAGGAGAAGAGGAGAGACAAAGAGGAAGATCTTCCATCCGATGGTTCACTCCCCAAGCGGCCGCAATGGCCAGAGCTGAGCCATTCCGAAGCCAGGAGCCAGGAGCATCTTCCGGTTCTCCCACATGGGTGCAGGGTCCCAAGCTTTGCACTGTCCTCGACTGCTTTCCCAGGCCACAGGCAGGGAGCTGGATAGGAAGCAGGACCTCCAGAATTAGAACCGGCGTCCATATGGGATCCCGGCGTGTTCAAGGTGAGGACATTAGCCGTTAGGCTACCGTTCTGGTCCCCAGTGAGCATTTCTTTGTGCATCAGTTTAATTTCTTCTTTTATGAATAGTCTGGCATCATCTGTAAGAGTTTTCCAATAATACAGAAGCCTTTTAAGCTTATTTAATTGTACGGCGGCCCATTAGAGTTGCTTGCCTCCATTAGTGATCAACTCCTTTTCCAACATGATCAATACAGATAAGTCAATATTTGCCATTTCAGTCTTAAGGTACAGTAACTTGGAATCTTGCAATACTAGATTCAGTTCCAAAATATCTGGTATTTAGTGTGCATGGAGACAACAGTGCCTGTCTAAGATTTCATAGTCTAGCAGTGAGTCAGTGTTACCAGTGCATGCTGGATAATCACCTGAAACCAGATTCTACCGTCTTTCTCCATTTCCAATCATTTTTTTCCTGAATTTGCTTTGGAGTTTCAGGTCTCTGGTACAATGTAACTAACTTGCTTGCACCCATCAACAGCAATGAAGCATTCACTGCTGTCAACCTGGAATACCTCCTAGTAGCAATGACAAAACATGCATAATTCAAATAGTTATTGTAAAACCAATGATTTGTTATTTGAAAGGCTAATTGATTAGTTTGGGCTTTGTTTTTCATTTTAAAGAATAACATAGTCTGTAATTCATGTGTGCATGTACCCTACTTATATCCACATACACACACTATATCATACTCCTTGATTTATGATGAGGTTACATTCTGACCCTCCTATTGGAAGTTGAAAATATTGTGAATAGAGAAGCAATTTTTGTACTTAAGTTGCAAAACATTATAGCATAGCTTATCCTGCCTAGATGTGATCAGAAATCTAAGTCTGTAATGAGACAAGATCATCTAACATCAAGTCCAGTTTACAATAAAGTGTTGAATATTTATGAGGTTTATCGGGAATACCTTTAGCCCCAAGGGCTAGCAGCAGAGTACACTGCGGGATCTTTATTGTCTCTGTAGGAACAGCAAGGCTCACTGGAAGATGCAGCTCACTGCCACTACCTGGCTTTAAAAGAAGCATCCCACCACATATTGCTAAAATGGAAAAGATCTGAAGTAGAGTCAAAATGTTTAAGTGGTAACATCCCAAGTCAGGGACCATCCGTAGGCTTGTATGTAGGAATCACATGCCAGAGTTATTTTAGGGAATACACTTGCACAGTCACAGGAGATAGAAAGTTTGAAATCTGTAGTGCTGGTTGGCAGGTTGCAGAGCAATGAATACAAACTGATGTTGCAAAATTAGGGGGAATATGCTTCCTCCTCTAGGAAACCTCAGTGATTGATGGAAGGTAGTGTTCTTTTCTTAAGGACATCTCACTGTTACTCATATGCAGAAAATACCTTCACACCAACATCCAGTTTAGTATTTAATTGACTACTAGTAGAAAAACCTGGTTAAGTTCATGCATAAACTAATCACAACAGTTTAAAATTTGCAATGTAAGTGACCATGATTTTTGTTACACACTAAGTCATAGACAGTATGAATGATTCTGCTATATTAGAATGTAAAGCAGGATATGCATCTTCCAAACCACCAAAGGAGAAGAAAAGACAGGAAAAAGTTGCATAAAATAAACAAGAAAATGCAAGAATTGACGACAGAATATAGAAAAAAGTCATATAATAGAAAACATGAATAAGAAAGCCTGTTATAGAAACATTTGTTAAAAGTGCTCTTATAAAGAAAAACATTGAGTTAAAAATTAAAATGCAACCATAACAATGTTAAAGTTGGTATTAAAAATTTTGCGTATTTGAAAGGAAAACTGTGTGTGTGTGTGTGTGAGGGCAGCGGGAGAGAGAGCAAAAGAAAGAAAAAGTCGGAGGAAGGGAAGGAGGGAGGGAGGGAAGGAAAGAAAGAGAGATCATCTACACGTTGGTTCATTCCCCAAAAGGTCACAACTGTTGGGGATAGACCAAATGAAAGCTGGGAGCCAGGAACATCTTCTCAGTCTCATACGCGGTTGACAGGGGCTCAGGTACTTAGTCCAACTTCTGCTGCTTTTTCTGGGTGTGGTAGTAGGGCCCTGGTTTGAAAATGGAGGAACCAGGACTTCAGCCAGAGTTCTCATGTGAAATGCCAATATCCCAAGTGGAAGCTTAACCTGAAACATCACCATGTTAGCCCCACCTTTTATGTTTTTACCAGAAGAAACTTGTTCTAAGTTTTACTTATTTGCAACACAGGGGGGGATTGAGAGAGAAAGAGAAAGAGAGAGAAATCTTCTATCTGCTGATTCATTCTCCAAGGATCCAGAACTGAATTAGGGGACAGAAGTTTTCTCCAGGGTTGCCACAGATACAGCAGGAGCCCAAATATTTGGGCTATTCTTCTCTACCTGAATTAGACATTGAGTG